CGTACAGATTTTGTCGGTAACACATCGCTTGAAAAATCCTTTTAGGCTGAATCTCCCTGATGAAGCTATCACAAATAATATGAACGACAACAGTGAAGTCCACTGCAACTCATTCACGATGCTGTTTAGGTTAATTCACTCTCCAATATATGTTGTCTCGTTAACTGTGTATTTTGGCAGGCTGATATATCTGGTAGCACCATGAATTTACTCGAGAATATTGAGAATGAAATTCGGAACTCATATCCAAGTGGCTGAAGAAAAAATGAAACTTAAAGGTTAAATAAGATCACAGGATAAACAGACATTTCCCTTTATTGTTAAACATTTGGTTGAAACTGGCCATAAGGTTGACACCAAGTCAGCAATGGTAGTGTTGTACAAAAGCCTTCAGGGACGTATACCAAGCTTTATTAAAGCGTTGGTTATAGGGAGACTGAAACCTCATTTGTGTTCAAAAACAATTTGTTCTTACTCTTAATCTGCCCTGTAATACTGATATATTGTCCAGAGTGATCATCACATTGCTTTTGTGTACTTTATTTTTCTTTGTTACGGCTTATTTTTAATCTACCTAGTTGACCTTTTGGTTTTCATGTAAAAGTGTCTTTACAAGTATATGTGTGATCAGATTGTTCGAAATGTATTACGCGAATATGCCACATTATTCTGACAATATTCGTCTTCTAATTGCACTATCAAGAGGTAACTCAGATGTTTACTTTCATCTTTGCTGATAGTGCCTAAGTTGCGTGTTGCCTGTCTGATAAAGCGCCGGACACTCTCTGCATCATTTCTAAGTTCAAAAGGCTTGTGGTCAAAGTCATATAGTTCGAATGGAGCGGTAGTAGCAGTTTTAGGGATGTTGTCTCGGTGAACTGAAATGTGCTGAAGAGATTAACCCTCGGAAACATTGTTATGCCAAACAGATTGTGAGCGAAGCCATGTAAGTGTGAAAGAGGTTATCTATCTGGTGTCGTCCGACTGTCAAGAGCTCTATAGTCGTCAGAGGGTCTAACATAGGAAGAGATCTTTCTGGAGTGGTGATGCCCAAGTACTATCGGTGATTTCGTGAGCTGAGTTTATGTGTATGTATGATATAGAGTGGGTTTGGGTTCGTCAATATATTTCATCGGCTATGTCTGCTAGTTCACCATCATCTACTTCTTTTGGTCCGATTCCCAATGTTAATCGAATGTCTTGAGGAATATGTTTGGCCTACAACTGATAAATTAGGCGTTTGTCTATAAGAAAATTCCTCAGCATACTCGTTGTGTCCCGTTTCAACTGTGAAGGTGTATGCTGTACGCTAGCCAAAAGTTGTTAGACTGTCTACTGGTTGGTCAGAGATTTGACGCGAATGACCTCTCCTTTTAAATTATCATATGGTGTCCGAATATGGTTCGAAAATTGGGCTAACACTTTGTTCCACAATGTCGTTTGGCAACAACAGGTTTTGGTAAATACATTTTGCGTCTAGACTTGTGTTTCCATGTGCAACAAAAAGATTTCTAGCCTTGTAAATCAGAATCCAGCTTTTATAGAGTTAAATGGAAGAACAGATACAGATACGGCACCCACGTAAGCGGATTTAGATCGGGGGGTTACAGCTTTACTAAGCAACATTATACGGACAAATAACAATAGTAACGACAGAGACAATTATAAGCCAAGGATTGCGATATGAAAATGAGGCAACAGCAAGCAACAGAGGACTCATAGAAAATAACTTCCACTGTTAGTTTGTATATGCGAATATAACCTAATAATTGCAAAGAAATAATGTCATAACTGAGTTTATTAGCAGTGTCAACAAATTGTTATCAGTTATGATAATAATTCCAATATAAAACTGTTCACAATGTGTAAAAAAACTTCCGAGAATGGTGCGTGTTGTAACTGCAGCTCACAAATTTCATTACTTAACTACTCGTGCCTGTTACTCCCGGTGGAGAATAGGCCACCGATCATCATTCTCCAACCCACTCTGTCACAGGCCTTATTGTCTAGTTCCATCCAATTCTTGTTCATTTTTCTCATATCTATCTCCATTTCTCGGCGTAATGTGTTTTTTGGTCTTCCTCTTCTCATTTGGCCTTGAGGATTCCATGTGAGGGCTTGTCTTGTGACGCAGTTGGGTGCTTTCCTCAATGTGTGTCCTATCCACTTCCAGCGCTTCTTCCTAATTTCTTCCTCCCCTGGGATCTGGTTTGTTCTCCCCCACAGTAGGTTGTTGCTAATTGTGTCCGGCCAACGAATCCGAAGTATTTTGCGTAGACAACTGATAATAAACACCTGCATCTTCTGAATGGTAGATTTCGTAGTTCTCCAGGTTTCTACCCCATACAGTAGAACTGGCTTGACATTTCTATTGAAAATTTGGACTTTCATGTCGGTTGATAGACAGTTGTTTTGAGTCCCGGATGTTCTTCAGTTGTAGATATGCTGCCCTTGCTTTGCTGATCCACACATTCACATCTTCACCAGGTCTGTAGATCGCCAACGTAGATGATCTATATCGAAATGATTGGAGGCCCACTCGAGTTAGACGTGAATGGTGTGACAAACTAGCTATTGTCGAAGTCACACCTCATGGTCAACACCTTACGTGGGCTGCCCCATCGACGTATCAAGGTACCATAGATGCTTTGAAGACCGTACAACACAGGGGACGCTATTACAGAAATATATTAGTTAAAGTAGGTACAATCGAAAGTAAGGCCACTGCCGCATGGGCCAGTCCATGGCATACGATTAACTGATGTGCGTTGGTTGGCCTTGACCTTGAGAGGATCGATGATTTGTTCGATATTCAACTATCCAACTGCCGGATAATTTGGCCAGGGCCTAGTGACATTTCGCTGGCCCCACAGGTCCACTGTGTTCATCATTTATGCTGCCCACATATGCAAAGGTTTATACATCTTCCAAAGCTTCTCTATCAAGTGTGACCTGATCGGTGCATGTTGTGTTGTATCGGAGAATCTTGCTTTTCCCTTTGTGTATTCTGAGACCTACTACCGCTAAAGCTGCTGCTACACTGGTCGTCTTCTCGTGCATTCGTTGTTGCATGTGCGATAGAACAGCCAGATCATCTACGAAATCTGGGTCGTTCAGCTGCATCCTAATTGGCCGTTGTATCTCGAGCTTTCCTCAGATGTTGACGTCTTCATGATCCAGTCGATCACGAGGAGAAAGAGAAAGGGCAAAAGTAAGCAACCTTGCCTGACATCGTTCTTTACTTCAAACGAGTTTGCCAGCTGTTCTCCATGCACAATTTTGCAGTTTAATACATCATAAGAATTCCATATGATATTGACTATCTTTTCAGGCACTCCGTAATGTTGAAGAAGCCACCAATTTTGTGGAGGTTAATCCCTTTCAAATTGACTTCATTATTTATTGTCCCATTCAATGTGTATTTTATCAAGTGAATTCTCTTGATAGCATTGTAAATTTACTAGAGAATATGCAATAGCTCGAACAGCAGCCGTTGGTAGAATGCGCTCATAGTCATAAATGACATTTGCAGGCAGACCAGAGTGCTGGAAAGTGAAAAAGTGAGTAAAAATTCGAAGCATATATATGTTGATAGATACGTGGGTAATTTTACTGATTGTTCAATCTTGTAATCAGTTAAGGGAGAGATAATGATTGAGATACATATATGGTTTCAAACAGACTATTATACACTAATACATAGTGAACCAAATGTCTAAATCGCAACAAGTGGGTAGTAAAATAATACAATGGGCTTACTATAATGCCAATTATTAAGCTGTCTTAAAAAATTGATTAACAGTCTCCTTTTGACCAGCTTTTATAGCATAAATTGTTCGGCTGATTCTAATGGCTGATAGCTAGTACACTCAGGTAAATCATAGGAGAGCGCTACAGATATTTCACCATGTAACATACCTTACGAAATACACCACATTCGGAAGCTATGAAATCCACCTCCAGATCTAACTGTAGTTCTAACCTCAGTTTATCCCATTCAGACCTTCAAGCTTGTACGTGATTACAAATTTTACGAAATTCAATAGTTCTAGATGCCTTGACTTATTCACTTAAAGGTGTTACAAGTATTTTTAGTTTGACGACACTTTAACCAGTGAAACCTGTAGTTGAATAGTGATCACTCAGTAAAGTCAAAAGTCAGAAGTGAGGAGGTTCGAATATATATTTGTCAGGTTATCAATATATCAAGAAGCGAATGATCTAAACTGGCTAGCGGTTGCAAGAGAGGTTGAGCACAGCGTTCCCACTCGCGACCTGGTGCGGACGCATGACCGAGCGCCTTCAGCTAGGTTAGCCTATCAGAACCAATGTGGTCGGCATAAAATGTCGAGGACTTATAGAACTACTGATTTGGGGATTTTTTTACCACTACACACTTCTCTCAACAAAACTTCTGCAATCTAAGTTTCTCGGATAATCGATATGAAGGATCTGTATTTTTTATTTATTTATTTTATTATTAGAAGCTTTATTCAACATTATATTTTTGGTACAACATAGAATCCTCAGCATAAAGTATTTCAACAAGTTTCCTATTCTTATATCTTGATCGATTGTGACGATAAATTTTGAATGATGACCAGTTAGATGTTAGGAGTTCGGTAATCCAAATTTGATTAATGTTCATTCGTTTCAATGCATATTGCCAGCCACCATAATGTCGCTGATTGTACCTTTTTGTATCCCGTATGGCGAAAGGTTGGAAACTTTTCATAAACGTGTCTGAATAGATTGTGAGCACAAAAGACATAATGATGTGCTAAAACAAACAACAAATCGATAACTTGAAGACATATCTAGATCAGGGGAATAGGTGACCTAGATATTCAAGCAGGCCGCCATACAATTTCCATACACTCAAGAACCAAACACGATAAGGCAGATGCGAATATAAGGAGTTACTTATACTCTCATTTATTCGTAACAATGTTTTTATCTAATGACTGAGTTTTTGTACGCTATCGTTGTTTCAGCTATTTGACCCTGACAATTACTTACTTTTGAATATGCAACAACCCGGCGTAAGTAGTGTGGCTGCGAACGTATTCAACCAGTAAGTATAACTTGGGTTTTCTAACAATAAATCCCCATGATAGAATTGACAGGAACAGAAAGGGAGCCATAACTGCGAGTGAATTGCAGCAGGCATTATCCAACGGTTAGTTTACAAATTGTTGAATGCATTCGTGTTTCAAATGGTTCATTCGTGTTTCTTCATGTTAGTCTTCAGTAATGAAGATAGTGGGTCGGCGGACCTGTGTTAATCCTTGCAGCTCGTTTTCCAGTTGAAACACAGCTTCTCTGAAATATTCACTGATGGGACTGATACCATTTGTTCGGAGAGGGTGTTCCAATCATTGGCTACTCGATGAGAAAAACGAAACCCCACTTTGAGTTTACGAGATCGCGGGTTTTGAACCTTCTTGCTATGGCCTCGGATAGGATTAGTTCTGGAGGGAGCGAAAAGATGAGACGTATTGACCCTCAAATTGTTATTAAACATACGGAATGTCAACATCAGGTCACTGCACGTTCTACGATACGATAGGGGAAAAGGTTCAGGAGTTTTAAGCACCCATTGTAAGGGAGATTGGAAATAACCTTCAATAACTTTGTTCCTACACGTTATATATATATATATAGTTTCATCTGACTACGCAAACCCAATAAAATGTGCTCGTTATTAACAGGTAGTTAACTGTTTGGTTTACATAAACACGAAAGTGAAACAATTTGATATGACATAGTTTTATTTGGTGAAGACACTGACAAAATGCAGAGTCTTCTGACCACTCTAAGCAACAATGCAAGCATGTTCGGGATGTGATTCTCCTCCTCGAAATGCAAAATGTTGCTTCAGGATTGGGTTACATCGACACCCGAACTAATGATACGGAGTGAAGTAGTTGAGAGTGTTGACCGCTTCACTTATCTTGGAAGTCTCATCATCCCTTGTGGTCTGGCGTGTGATGAAATCTCAGCACGGATACAGAAGGCTTGACTAGCTTTCACCAACTTGCGTCATTTATGGCGTAGGCGAGATATCCGTCTATCAACCAAAGGACGTGTTTACTGCGCAACAGTTCGTTCCGTCCTACTTTATGGCAGTGAAACATGGCCGGTAAGAGTAGAGGATATTCTTAGGTTACTAGTATTCGATCATAGTTGTCTTCGAAGGGTTGTTCTTATATCCTGGGGCTACCGAGTAAGTAATATATTTGTTAGAAAACGGTTGTGAGGTAAGAATGGCAAATCAATTGATGAATTAGTGAAACGTCATCAGTTGAGGTAGCTGGAACATGTGTTACGCGTGCCCAACCACCGACTGCCTCGACGTGCGATGTTCAGTGGTATAGGAGTAGGTTGGAAGAAAGCTAGGGGCGGCCAGACCAAAACGCTACACAATTTCATGGAGCCACTGACAAGTGGACTGAGCCATGTTGGTAGGTGAAGACTACCTGGTTGGGGACCGCGAGATGATAGCAACCGATGGTTAGAGACCCTGAATGACATGGCTCAAAATCGTTTGCAATGGTTCAGGTGCATTCACTCTTCGTGTTCTCCCAAATTCTAATCTGAATTCTTCATGTCCCTTTCTTTTTTCTCTTTCTAAATTTATTTCACTGGATTATACTCCTTGAATAACATCTTCAAACCCTAATTTTTCTGACCGACTGACTGGAACAATTTGATTGGATTAAATCCATAATTAACTCGTTTAACAAGGTTTTTATTCTTATTGACTGTTGCTGATTGTAAGGTTCGCTGTTCGATAAAAATCTGTTTCTACGCTGATCGATTTCTCACGTAAATGTAATTATTTGGCAACTGTATTATACGATTCTCTGTTTATAGTTTAATTTTGTAGCGTCCTTGTGATTTTTTTATTTTTTCCGAAATATTAACCTTAACAACTCCCACACAAAACAGGATTGGGGACATCATTCAATATCAAAACGATTGAACTGATGATATGTATGTTTGATAAAGATATGAATGGCACTATAAATGTCTATGAATTCTCTCAACTATTTGAGTACGTACAACAGTGGCAACAATGTTTTCGATCATATGACAGAGATGGATCCGGTACAATCGACTGTCGAGAGTTTCATACTGCTTTAACAAGCTTTGGTTATCGATTGTCTCCAGAATTTTCACAATTCTTAATTAGAAAATTCGATAAAAATCGCCGCGGATCAGTAGGATTTGATAATTTTATCTTGGCATGTGTTTGTTTAAAGGTAAGTTTCAAAGTTTTATCTTCCATATTGTTTCCTATTTTTGTGCGTCAAAACGTTTTAATGATGGATATACGAGAATAAATAAAGATAAAAGGCCTAAAAATACCTGTGTAACTTATTCATCGTGTTAGGAATGTGAGTTGTTCGGACATTCTGGAATATCGTAATCCCTTCGGCTATCGGTAATGTTTTCATTACTTTACTTTTCATCTCGTCCAACGTACCCTGATGATGTATAGTGTGGCAACTTGACTTGGCCGACGTCCTTATTTTCTTTATGATTAACCAAATTTGAAAGCTAGGTATGTATTTGTCCTGAAATGCGACATAACTTCTGCTTTCAGTTTTTACTTTATGTTTGCTTGTCATGATGACTGAGACTATATATAACCCGAGGAATTTGTTGCTCGAGATCTTATCATGCCAAAAATTCCGTGGGGTAGCAGAAAACCTAAAGTCAGATATCAAAGTTATGCTCTTGATTGTCTTGTAGTGTAATAGGTTTCACATGTTTCGGATGGATTATTAACACCCCCAGTAATGGTGTACAGCTAGAAAAAGAAATTACAAACATTCAATCATAAACAGAGCATACACTCCCTTGATTAATGATTTCTGATCCCTTCTGAAAGTTTTGGAAAGTACAAAGCGTATGTAGCGAAAAATACTATTAGCAAGACGATCAACTCGTTATCTATTGAGCTTCTCGGTCAAGCTGCGTGACCTAAAAGGTCATTGATACTCAAGTAGGTTTTTCTTCTCTTTCATCGAGTAGTCTTCTTTCATGATTAAAGCATTTGAGAACTATTGATTGTCAGTACTTTAACATCACTCGGGATTATCAATAACTGTCTCCAATGTTTTCTAAATTTCCTTCCATTCCCCTTGTTAATCTTTCACTTTGACTTTATTTTCCTTCTAATGCGCAACCGATTCTAAAGATTTAATTTTACGATGTGTTATTGCCGCTCTGCTAAAATTGTGCTCCTTACTGCAAGCCACTCTGTAACAATTCATATTATTACACGCCTATGTGATTTGTGCTGACTTTCTGATAGACAAATTAATCCGTTTTTTGGACAGACAATAAGAATATGCAGGTAAGAGCAAGCAAAACGAGCCTACTCAATTTCCATGAGTGTGATTCTGCATTGCTTCGTATGGATAAAAGCAAGCTAAAGATAGTTAATCAACAGAATATGTGATAGACAAATATATGTACATACAAGTTCTCTGGAGGTAATAAGTGAACAGCTGACAAGGTCAAACATATGTGTACGTAGTAACTCAAAAAGGTTAGATTAATATATTTGTCCACAAGTAGGAATCGCTACAAATGCTTTCAGTGTTTTAACCTTATTTCTAATCGAAAAAATAGTTCCACTAGCCCAAGATCCTAGAATATCTTCCGTTTGTTGGATACTGTGTTACAGAAACCCATGTGTACTTATTGACCTAGCCAATATGAGGAACTTGTTTATCTTATTCTTTGTAACCGGAGGCTCAACCGCAACACCTCATCGTGCTGCATGTGTAGATTTACCATTACGTTTCACAGAATGGACTATCAATTTTCAACCTAGAGTAGTTTATTCTGTTTTCAATTAAGTCGAACATGCTTCAAGTACTTTTCACTAACCCACTATTCGCCAACATCTTATATACTATATCGTTATTAGGTTTGCAAATGTTACTGAAGTTGAGAAGCTTGTAATTAACTCTAGACGATGCATAGAAGCAAGTTATGAGTCGTTAATTTAACAAATTTTATGGATTATAACCCAATATCATTCGTCAAATTAGCGGATGTATTAATTAAGGTATTGAAGATGAGAATGAATAAGAACGCTCAAATGTTGATGTATTTCTTGTAGTATTTACTGTTTCTTCCTTCTCACCGTTTGAGAGATTTTTCCGTTGCATCTTCCACTGAAAGATATATCAAAGACTATCAGTTTACTGAAACTTGTCTGTTGCGGTATGATTGATTAAGTCAGAGCTTACTAGTAACTGTCATGTAGACTGACTCCATCAAACAGCATTCCTCAAGATTGTCCTGTTGTCCTACATTTTCCTTAGAGGTAACTCTTTCTTCTTCTTATTTCTCCTTCCTAGGTTAGTGACTTTAAGAGAAATATACTGTAGTCCACTTTGTCTTGCTGAAGACTTTGTCTTAAGTCATATCTGTTCTTGGAGTAAGGCCGGTTGTTGTTTCATCGATGGAGATTTCAACGTGCCGTATATCAAATAAATAGAGCTTGCAACGTCAGATAGATGTTTTGACAGCAGCCTGCTGTCAACACATTCGAGTATGTCTAACGTGTAGGAACAAAGTTATTGAAGGTTATTTCCAATCTCCCTTACAATGGGTGCTTAAAACTCCTGAACCTTTTCCCCTATCGTATCGTAGAACGTGCAGTGACCTGATGTTGACATTCCGTATGTTTAATAACAATTTGAGGGTCAATACGTCTCATCTTTTCGCTCCCTCCAGAACTAATCCTATCCGAGGCCATAGCAAGAAGGTTCAAAACCCGCGATCTCGTAAACTCAAAGTGGGGTTTCGTTTTTCTCATCGAGTAGCCAATGATTGGAACACCCTCTCCGAACAAATGGTATCAGTCCCATCAGTGAATATTTCAGAGAAGCTGTGTTTCAACTGGAAAACGAGCTGCAAGGATTAACACAGGTCCGCCGACCCACTATCCTTATTACTGAATACTGATAGCTATATAATCACTTATTGATTTCCTAGTTTGAGGCTTATTAGGAGACTAAAACAAATGTTTATTATTCTCTGGTTTTCAGTCTTATTCTAAGTGTTCATTATTTGATAAAAAATGTCTACAAGTTGTATATGAGCTGGTCATCGTACACAGTAGCGAATTATACCTGTATATGCTTGCTACATTATTAAAAACCATTCGTTCTCCAGTTAGCATTGGTGGTCACTATTTTATTTAATTCATAAAGAGACGTCCGTACATTCTTGTCCCCACATAGTGATTTTTCATTTATATTTAATGGTTTAATATAATGGTCAGTTTTTGGATTATTATGCGTGTGTCTGCGTGTAATAATGTAAATTCTTAAACAGGCTAGCAGTCTAAGGAAAATAAGCTTCTTGTCTAATCATACTATGATTTTTTATAGAACTAAAACAGTCATTATCGTGTTTTATTTGCTGTTTGAATATATTTCTAACCCACTATTACATAGTCAGACCTATTGGATTGTCATAACTTAAGTCTTATTAATATATAACGTAATGATACCGCCAATTAGAGAACAGTGATTTATCGACCGGACCGATGACGCATAAACCCGTACGAGCAGTTTACAGTCCTTATCAGTCCTTCTCCCTGTCTGTTGATTCCAGAACACTAATCTCAGCCTCTGTGATACGACCATGCATTTCAAACAGACCACATCGTACCATAAAATAGAAAATAACATTTATGCATGACCTAGCCAAAAATGGCTGTGAATGTGGGAGCTCGTAATTAATAGACTGGACACAACTCAAGAACGGTAAATCGTATAATAATAGTCTATGGGTCAAAACAAAGCTTTTAATAAGAGGAACACGAATATGCATAGTTTAGCTACTTACCAATCATACAATAAAAATATATGTAACGTATTGGTCCATAAACAGTTCTAAAAGGTTACCATTCAGAATTCTCGTTGGAATGAGTTGAATTCCTTGAGTCAAGCTGCTTACTTACTGTGTAATCAATTTCACTTTCTTTGTGACTCGTTTACTAGATATCAGCCTTGTAGGTTACTCGATCTTTAATAAATTAGGATCTAATTATTAGGCTTAATTCTTCTCCATCACATCGGTGCTAGAAATTCAAATCTGTTAGTTGAAAACTGTGTTCAATCATCGCTAAACCTCCGTTTTACTAAAGAACCTAACCTGTAAAATTTTACATTCTATGATATTTAATCATAACATTATTCATTTATCATTGTTAACTCCTTTCTACTATTGTCAATTAATTCAGTATAATAATAGCTAAGGATATTAATCACACGACTATGGAGCAGTGGCTTGGTGGGTAAAACATTCGACTTTTAATTCATGTTCTAATCCCGCTCTAATTGTTTCGATTTAAGTAACCGGGTGTTATAACTGTGACGGCAGCAGATTAGAGGGTAGCGAATTATTGATCGGACCAAAGACGCGCAAACACGTAGAACGACCTAGGGTTCTGATTGGCCCCGCTTCCCTGTCTAGCCCAGCCAGTTAAGTCCATAACGCAAGTCTCAGCCTCGGATATATGAACCCTTATATTTCAAACACACTCTGTTTATATACTAATCAAGCAGACCACATCGTACCATAAAATAGAAAATAACATTGTACAATATTGACCAGTAGGAAAATGACACGTAAAATAAGCACTGACCAATAAGTAAATAATACCATCTCCAAGTCCAAGAATAGCATTAGACTTAATAGAATAATTTTTGGGATATTTTCCTGAATATCCCAACACCGGGTAATGTCATTGAACCTTACACTTAGATTGTTGCTTATATCTAAGTACCTAGAGAATTACTTAATTTAAATTAAAAAGTTCATTGTATTAATGATATTGTTTGTTTTTCTTAAGCCAGTATACCATTTACCTTCTATTAAACTATTCATTTTATCATTACTACTATTATTATTATTGTTACAGAATTTAACTGATGTATTCAGACCTTATGATTATCAACGAAATGGAATGGCACAACTTAGTTATGAACAATTTTTAACTGCTGCATTCAGTGTAGTTAGTTAATTCAACATTATTATTAATGGTCAAATATTATCAATATCCTTTTCTTTAAGATTGTAAAGATAATAGTGCTTACTTATTTATATCGATCAAGTTATTATACTTGACCCATATTCTTGTCTAGAAACAAACAAACATAAGTATGGAATATTATGTAATTATCTAAATAACTTATTGTGAATATACAGTATAATTGGAGACCATATCTGTCTGTCTCATGTAATTGTCTACAGTGAGGTTACTACTATAACCAATATACTCACTTTTTTCATTAAAAAAAACAACAACTAAAATTGCAATTACTTTGTTCTGTTCTATGCGAATAGTTTTTGTTTTCAGCAGGTAATAATAATGAATTTATTGAACACACTAAATAGAGGTCAGTGTTAGTGGTATGCGACTCTATTGTGCATAAAATCAAATTAATTGAATAGGGGTTCAAGTCTATCATTTATAATTAATAGTTGAGTAGTAAAAAGATTTATTAAATAAGATCAAGTGAAAATAAATCAAGTATACAGCCTTTTGCAAGTACAGAAAGAACAAGTCAACATGTTAAAACAGAAATTAATCAATAGGAATGGAAACTTCTTTGTTCACAACTCTGAACAGAGGAGTTTCAGGACGAATAAAACAGAAATTGCGAATTCCTAAATAGCATTTTATGATAAATAGTGTATGGGATCTGTTACTGATACACAGTGTGCTACATGCTAACCCCTCAACTGAATACTTGGGCGAATAAAATACGCAAATACCCATCCGTACATATATATATATATATATATATATATATATATATATATATATATATATCACTGTAACCCTTAGGAAATTTGTCTATTTCTTAGCCAGTGAAATGCCATTAACCTTTGGGTCACTCCTGATTGCCACCGATGATTTCTCGACAGGTCATTTCTGATTGACTTACCAATAGAATGTTAGTAAGTAATTTTCAGGGATTTATTTGTAACTATTTTTAAATTACAAGCTGATAGTCGTGATTGGTGTCAGAGAGAGAGAGAGAGCTTCTCAAATTCAAGCAATATATCAAGAGTATATTGTTAGTCAAGTGTTGGTATGTGGACTCAAGTGTCATTTTAAGAAATCAGTTATTCACTAACTAATACATACACATACACACACACTAGTACTTAATTCCATCAGTACCATCGTTCGATAATTAAAAAATTTCATACACATAGTTCCCTTTATCATTTTGAAAAGAGCGAGAACAAACATTCTAGTAGAATAGCATGAATTCATTTTTATTTCGTTGGTTCTCGTCACAGTTTATTTACGAACCTCATTCAATTCATTTGTTCAAGGGTTAGGGAATACTCTTTATTAAATAAGTCAGAAATTGAAAGATTTATTTATTTAGATTGAGTGTAAATGACAAATGACCAGTTAGTTATAATGTACTTGTTAGTAGCTCAGTGCTTTATGTTCCGCTTTTTTAGTGTCCACTGTTAGGTAAAACATGTTATAACTTGTGGCCTGAGCGCCCTGCTAATGTATAACGTAATGATACCGCCAATTAAAGAACAGTGAATTATCGATCGAACCAATGGCGCATAAAAACCCGTACGAGCAGTCTGGAGTACTTATCGGTCCTGCTTCCCGCCTAGCCTAGACCAGCCAGTTAAGTCCAGGACACCAATTTCAGCCTCTGAAGTATGAATCGTTCATTTCAAACATACTGGGTTTATATAGTATCCAGACAGACTACATCGTACCATAAAATGGGAAGTAACATTTGTACAAGATTTAGCCAAATATGGCTATGAATGTGGGAGATTGTAATTGAAAGACTAGGCATAACTCAAGAATGGTAAACCGTATAATAACAGTTCATTGGGTCAAAATAAAGCTCATAATAAGAGCGGCATGAATATGAATAGTTTAGTTACATAACAATTATACGATAAAAATATACGTATAGCATTGGTCTCTAAATGGATCCAAAAAATTACTACTCATCATACTTATCGTGACATAACAAAACTAAAATATATAAGTCAGTGATTAGTTAGGACTAGTTGATGTATTGATTTTGTAAATCGTATACTTACACCAAATTATTGATTAAATAGTGCTATCTGTCAACATTCAAATTTATTTATTGATTTGGTGAAATTTTAGTTGATATACAACTTTGTTCTTATTGATTAGTTGTGCATAAATAAATAATTATCTGATAACAACAACAACCTTGCTTGTTGTTATACTGAACAAGTAGCCATAACAACGATCAAATACGCTTTATTTTCAAGCTAGTAATTGAGAATTCATTTAAATTAACCATTTCATTAATATATATCGACATTGATATAACTGATGGTTTACAATATTTTCCTCTGTTAGACGTATATTACTTACTTACGCATGTTACTCCCAATGGAACATAGGCTGCCGATCAGCATTCTCCATCCAACCCTGCCTATGCAATCCTTCCCATTTGTTATTCATCCTTTTCATATCTGACTCCATTTCCCGGCATAATGTGTTCATTGGGCTTCCACTTTTCCGCTTCCCTTCAGGATTCCAAGTTAGGGCTTTCCCAGTGATGCAGTTTGATGATTTCCGTAATGTATGTCCTATTTATTTTCATCGTTTTTTCCTAATTTCCTCTTCAACTGGAAGCTGGTTTGTTCTCCCCCACAGAAGGCTGTTGCTGATGGTATCCGGCTAATGTATGTTGAGTATCTTGCTTAGACAACTATTTATAAATACTTATACCTTCCTGATGATGGTTGTAGTAATCCTCCAAGTTTCAGCTCCGTACAGTAGAACTGTCTTGACGTTCGTATTGAAGCTTGTGACTTCAACATTGGGTGACAGTTGTTTTGAGATGCATATGTTCTTCAATTGTAGGAATGCGGCCCTTTCTTTGCCAATCCTCGCCTTTACGTTAATAAGACTAATCATTGTATATCAGAACCAGGATTCACAACCCAGAATAGAGAACCAGGTTAACACTAGTGTATCCTTTATTCAATATAATTACAAGCAGTCACATACAAAGAGTCCAGAATAGAAATCACCAATAAGACGTTAAACCAAATATTTAATATTCCGTAGGCTGTGACAGTGAGACTATGATTTATGGACGACTCTTGAGCAACGCTAAAGTGACCTTGAGGGTGTCCACCTAATAATTAGGACCAAATAAGGGTTATAAACCTGTGTGAGGAATTCGAATTATGATTTAAAGTTGATGGTTAAGGTCAGAAATTAGATTTAATGTTTTAATCACGTACTGACATCGTCTATAATGACAAAACTCGACTTAGCCAAATGGATCAGTGAATTTCGTGCCGAAACCTGTTATCTTATTCATGATTGGTTCGTCCTCCCTCAATTATAGTCCCACCGCTGTGACTGTTTGACCAGGCTTATTGACCAATCATACTGTAATTTCATTACCATACATCAGAAGTTTAGTTGTATGAGGTGTTCGGTGAATGTATTACTTCATTTAATGGATATCAATTGAAAAACGTTTAAGACTCAAAGTAATTAACGTTCTTTTAAAGCACTTGAAGTGTAGACCGGAAGTTTTTCATTACTACATAAAAATGTAGCTTCGGTTTTTCAATAAGGAAAAGGTTACTATCAGAAGGGGTTTTGTGGAGATTGTAGTAATTTCAGGAGTCAATTGAAGCTAGCCCACCATGGAAAACCTGAAGGTACTGGACGGCCGCTTCGTTCTGTGTGGGACCCCTCCTTGATAGTGCGCACCCACGACCCCACCTCGCGGGATTCGAACCCAGGACCTATCAGTCTCGCGCGCTAGCGCTTAACCACTAGACCACCGAGGTGGCCGTTATCCAGATGTGTTTATGTCTAACTTCAACTAATCCACGAAGAAGATTAATGAACACGACATATTCGAATGAAGATTGAATTTGTGTTATTAGTTCAAGCATTTGTCTTATAATCATTCAGTTATCCGATTAACCCTTATCCTACTAATAATTACTGGAGTAAGCGATTGGCGATGTTAACTACCATAGTCAATGTAAGAGATTTTTAGTTGAATCTCATCACTAAATGTAATATTTCTCCGGTTGAAAGACAAACAATTCATTCATTCAGTATGTATTTGTACTGTGGTGTGTACTACTGATGTTGACATTTATAAGTAGTATGTATAACTAACCAAAAGTGAATTGACTGGTGGCAGAAGGTCTAAGGAGAGAGAATGATTGAACGAAGAAATAATCAAGTTTGAGACAATTGATTGACATTTTACAAATGATGTATTTACTGTATGATTATCAGATTTTACTAAAAGATTCTCTAATTTCTTATTCAAATACATTTGGTTATCCTCACCTATGTTCCCTTATATGCAGCAGTTCTGCTGTCTTTCTTTATGGGTGTTAAAACCTTTCTGAAGTATTTTGGTCCCTTCAAAATCAATCTTGTGTCCTGTTTCTAACGCATGTAACGCTATCGCTGACTTATTTTCAAGTTTCTTTAAATCAACCGGGGATTTCGGAACATTTTTTAAGCATTGTTTGTGTTCCTTCAATCGTACATTCAATTGCCTGGATGTTTCTCCAACATAGGTAGCATTACAGTCGTGACAGTGAATCTCATACACAATGTTCTGTTGTTCTTCCTTTGCGTTACATGCGTTAGAAACAGGACACAAGATTAATTTTGAAGGGACCAAAATACTTCAGAAAGGTTTTAACACCCATAAAGAAAGATTGACAGCAGAACCGCTGCATATATGGGCGAACAAGAACAGCCTGAACCGAAAAGATGGTATTCAACTGGCAAATTTCGTTTGACAAGTAAATTTGGAACCTATCTCTTGTTTAAACCTGTTTTTTTAATATCACATGCATCGTTATTATTATTGAAAGAACTCAATGAGTATTTTAAACAATACAATTTATGTTTTGACATGCACATCGATCTTTCATTATCAAGTTTTTCATCCTTGAACTTGAACTTTATTTATTCCTTCATATCAATCTCTCACACATACATACATACCTACACACTCACACACATACGATTTGTTACTCAGTTAAGTATTTCCATGTAGTTGAATTCATCACATGATTTGTAGTCAACTGAATCATTTTATCCTATTTTACAAAAAATCAACATCCAAATATGATTGATTTAACACAGTATAATCCTGATTGTTAAAAAGCTATATATTTCTTTGATAATATTGATTTTGATTATTACCCTGATATGAAGTCCAGACAAGTTAGCTGGACAAAACGTTGGAATTAGTTAAATTTCAA